TTCCTTATTGCCTGTTTCCCTGAAAATTGGTCTCTCCACTTCAGCCACGGCGAACGCACAAGTGGAGGAATACCCCACAATCTGATGTAGGGCTTTTTCAAGGCGAAGTCAGCTTATTTTGGACACACCGCACGAGTCACTCGACAGCACAGTAGCTGTTTCAGTAAGCGGCTGCCGAAGGTTGACTGTCTCCTCCAATCCCGTGATGAGACACATGCCTGCCCATCTAACTGCTATTTTTCCCCTCGTCTAGTGCCACGACCCGGCAGCCCATGGCTAGGGCTCATAACTGTCTGCGTGTCGATATAGTCTGTATTCCTTGGCCGTGGTTCCACCGATAGGTATAGAGAAAGTACCAGAGACTTATATAATATCCTTATTAAGGTCCAATTGTTGAAGAGTAGAGACTCCCCTCAGTAGAGCTGTCAGTGCATATACCCAATATCAATGATATCCTGCTCGCCTATATAATTGTGACCCCGAGGGCTCGCTGAGGTGTTCGGGGAGTAATAATAGTGACGGTCACGACAATGAGACTGAAGAGGAGCTTTGGACCCTCGATATTCCCCAGATTCGTACGTTAGTCGCTGACGTGGTATCTCAAAGTTCAGAGTATGTAGATGGCTTTCAACCCATTCTTGGCTGCTTCTCTCTGGATTTCTTTCACGATGTGACGCTAGTCCAACCACTACGAAAGCTCCCGTAATGCTAGAGGCTTGAGGACATATAGTGCACGAACGGATAAATCACCAGATAGCAGAAGCAAAGCCATGTCTCCCTTCACGTATGCACTTTAGCTTATCTGCTGCGTCTCTCGCTTGATGTGGAGGGGTCAAGTAGGACTCCATCAGTACCACTCATCCGGAGCCCTTATTCTCTATTGTTTGGAGCATCGAGTACTAGTTCTTTTCCCTTTTGTCCTTCCACTGTCGAGAATTTGCACGAATTGATTTCTCGCATTTGCACCAAGCAGTCAGAATTTTGCCAGTATCTTGAGTCTCTGCAGAGGTGAAGATGTCCCCTGACTTTGACAAATACACCCCTTCTCCCAATAACTATAAAGTGTTGTCTAATCTGTCTTTTTCACAACAGGCGATGGGAGTGGGCAAGTTCGTAGAAGAAAGCCCACATGAGTCCATAGTATCTTTTCTGGTCCCGCATGTGTGCCCAAATGTTCAAATAATCTCGAACCCGGCGTGGATAGCATCCACTGCTTTGCGTAATGAGGTACCGCAGTGGATTCGATACTATCAGTGTATATATATTGGCTGTGAATCATGAGTAGCTTACTATACCCACGTTCTTTGTTGAGGCAACCATTTCTAGGTACAGCAGGCCATGGATGGAGTCATTAATAGTTTATGAATTCGAGAAGCCATCATAGGTTCCTCAGTGATGACTTTTGCTGCAGTAGCCAATCACTACTAACCTCTTCTATTGAGATCTCGATCATTTCTTGAATTCCTCGATTTTGAAGTTGGTCAGAGCAAGTTATCAGCGTCTCCTCATCTATTTCCTTCTTTTCTTTGAACAGTGTTTGTTCTCTTGCAATTTCAAGTTTAGAAGCGTGGTCGATGTCCCAGGCATTTTGCTTGGCACTGTATAGTGGCTATATCACCTTCTCCATTCTTCGGATAGAGTAATACTGGTATGTAGGCATGCTTAGAGCATGCAATATGCGTACTTTGAGGCCATTCGTATGGTTTCTGTTGCAATGTGCTTTCTTGGGGATAGGGAAAGAGTATGGTGGGTGAAATTGGCGAAAAATGTTAGGAAGATATGAAGATAGAGAGATGATGAAGAAGGTCGGAGAAGGGGGACGATGGGTATTTATGCTATGCAAGTGGACGGGGAATATGGGAGCTCATGGAATATTCTCCATTGCATATTGGCTCCAGGTGAAGCCTAGGGATACATATTGAATGATATATTGACTGCGTCTTTTGAAGTCGTGAATATAAACCATATGCCTCCTTTGTCGAAAGCATATGCTCCCATCCCGGACAATTATTTCTGGCGATAAGTTGGACTCATGTGAATACCCGACATGCACGAATTCCCTGGAAATCTATTTCTCTTATATCAATAATACTAGTGGTAGTACTGTCTCTAGATACCCGCTACGGTAACTTCCAGGATAGTGATGAGCCGATAATTCACGGCGAGGAATATGAATTTACCTCCCCAGATACTGTCCGTCAGTGACGGTATTACCAAACAATTGCCTTTGAAACTACTGTGCCACCATTGACAAAACCTCCATATATAATATACATCAATTCGTTTCACAGAATATCCTACATTACCATTAACGCCCATTTTTCCTATCCCAAGCCTATCCCCCAATCTCGCAATTCTTTGGAACTTGTTCCAAATCAAGGCACAACCGCCAACAACCCCACCAAAAACCCAGCGAGAGGCCACATAGCCCTCGCACCGTTAAGCAACGCCCACTTATTCAACAAACCCAAGACCCTCTCGCCCTCCTGAGGGTCCTTCTCCTCCTGCACGCCCACCTTGGCCTTCTCCATCAAGGCATCATTCGTGCCCTTCATAACCAGAATAGTCCACGGCACAATGGCAATCGTCAATGCAGCAGCAATCGCATAAGTAGTGGTAGCTCCCCGTGGTGCGATCGCTGCCAATGTGCTCTGTGCTCTCGTTTCCCAGGATAAGTACAAAAGGGTGGTGGCGGTGAAAAGAGCGATCGGGGGAGCGCGGTTCTTGCCCGTTTCATATACCAGGGCCCATTGTTTGGCGATTGTTGATAGGGGGATTCTGTGCTCTTTGTGGGATTGCAGGAGAGCTGGGATTGTCATTAGGGATAGAGAGAAGATGTTTCCTGGATATTTTATTGTTAGCGAGAGTTTAGGTTCAGGATGAATGGGGAGTAGTACCCGAGAGCCAAGCGGCGCCACTGAGGCCGATTGCCTGGGCTATACAGAAGCTTGTTGGGAGGGTGTCTGTTGTGTACATGGTGTAGTAGTGGTATGTAGGTGGTGGGATGGATTGGATCAGGAATGCTTAGAGTGGATGGATAAGGGTGATGTGGCTTATATATGAATGCTACCGAGTATGTGGAGTCATGATGCCATCGGTGAGCTTAAATATTTGCCTAAAGGCCTAGACTTGTAGATTTGTTATGGCGATTGCAGCTTACACTTGACTACTACAATAGTATGCAGGATAGATAGCGAGTCAGGGCCATTGCTGGTTTCTCGCCCCGCATTCTTCCTTGCGTGGTTAGTGGAAAGAAGTTGACTGGTTGAACACTGTGGATGCTCGGCTTTTGGCGGGTTTTGGACCGGTCGGGTGGGTTTTGGAGTCCGTGATGTTCATCATATCAATTCGTAGATGCAGCTCAGACAAATAGTCGTGGTTAGAGAAACTATTGTCTACATTATACTTATTGTGAGGGTCCAGTATAAAAAGGGACAGTGGAGTATATATTAATCTGTTCGGTCGCAGTGTCTATTTATCTCCCCTATGCGCTCCCCTTCGGCAACTTTTAGCACTAAAAACCAAACACTACAAAGTCAACCAAACACCACAAAAAACACTACATTCACATACAAACCATCAGATTAGATTCCAACACGTCGACGCGTCTTGATGAGTAGAAGTGGATTTTCGCAATGCTTCAACATCTCGACCAGCCAGAGTGTATGATTGGTCCATTGAGAACTGATGTCTCTGATAGTATCGTTTATCTGATCAATCTGTACGGAGTACGGAGTACCCTTTGCCGGGAAGTGAATAGGATAAATGGGGCAGAATTAATCCAGCGTGATTAAGTACTCCGCAGGTCAGCAACCATAAGGTACACATAACAACCCAACCAACTTCTCCATATCGATCAAATCATCAGAACAACGTGTCTATCTACTCCATAGTAATCACCAAACACGTTTCTAGTTTTCCGCAGCATAAGCAGAGAATCCTTCCCATACAAGCCAAGTTGCGCCCGAAACTTCCAGGATCTTATTGTGTCCAAACTAGTCCCAACAGAGTAAGTACTTCGTCGGTCGTTATGTAAGCCTCACAAGGCTGACTGTCAGACACCTGACCCTTCCAGCCATGCAATCATCCTCCTACAAACCCAAAACAAAGGAATCTGACAGTCTGACAGGATGCCACAGCCTTGCTATGGATAACCATCAGGGGTTTCCAACACCGCCTCTCTTTCTCTCTCGGCCAAGACTTTCCAAACGACGAATCCCCGGAACTGACTAGAAAACGAATACGGAAGACAGTCTGGCTCGGACGCTGCCCGACCGACAACATCACTACATCTGCAACCACCCATGAACAGGAGGAGGAAGAGGAGAAAGGGACCGAACAAGGGGGTTGCGAGTGGTTGACACCGTGACCCGGTGAAAACTCGCAACCAACTCCGCCTATCTAACCAGCCAATCCAATCCTATAGCCAAGTTAACTATAGAGGAATCAGTAATAACCAACTAATCGGAAATTCGCAACAACCTCGGCAGCGATCGTATCCGTATCCGATACCCCAATTTGTTGCGGAAATCAGTTCACCTCATCTTCTACCGTCGGGAGTCGCAAAGAAATTTCCCCACCGGGGGAAATTCTCAACAAATGAGATGTTCCGAAGGCAAGCTGAATCTTTGGTCTAACTCAACCTGCATCTTGGTTCCCGTCCCTTTCGTTCCCTTTTTTTCCTCTTCAGCCCAGTCCATGGCCCCGCCCCGCCAAGGCTATAAAAAAAGAATAAGCTTGAACGGTGAAAATAATTTCGTGTGATGAGTGGGTTTGAACCAGACTAGTTAGTTGGTCACACCCTCATACACACCCTCTCTGCACCTTGTAAGATGGTACGTAGAAAGCTAGTGCCTGGATCGGCGCCCCGTGCGATGGGAACGAATACGATCTATGCAGAGATAGTAGTAGACCGACAGGGCTGGGTGAGAATGGGGTGTGAGTAATAAATATGCGGACTTTTCTCATTGAAGTGATGATATTCAAGTCATCCTTTACTACTATCATCTATACTATCTTGACATTCCTCACTCCTTCTATACCAGCACTGGTAGTATACAAATACAAAATGTCCACCCAAGACAGCGACGCAGAGAGCTCCATCTCCAGCCAAACAAGGTACATACATCCCTCCATCACCACCATCAACACCATACCTAATTCTAATAAACGATTAAACAGAACAAAAACCCCCAAACACACCTTCCCCCTCGCCCACCCTCCTCCCAAATCCTCCCCCTGCCTCCGCCTCACCCCGCGCCTCCTCCTCCAAATCCAACAACTCTCAATAACCTCAAACCGACACCGGGTTCTTCCCATCCTCGAAATCTACCAACCCCCACGACAAGGGAAATGCCTCCCCAACTGTCCGCGCAAGCTCCACGGCCGGGATCTCTACATCCTACAGAGCGACGCTTACACCGACATCACCACCACCACCACCACCACCACCTCAACAACAAAATCACCATCATCATCAGAACCTACTAGTAGTAGTACCTACCCCATCGCCGCGGGCGTAATCTACAACAACCACAACACCAACCCCAACCCCAAGAAACCCACCACCACCACCACCACCCCACCACCACCAACAACTACTACTACTACCACAACAGAAGACGACGAAATCTACCTCCCAACGACACACCAAACCTACTCCGCAACGCGCACCCCCCGAGGCAACTACCGCTTCATCCTCCGACAGAAGAAAACCCCGTCCGGAGAAACCGTCATCATCGAATGGCGGCGGAAAACCCAGTCCCAGACGACCCGGCCAAGAACCGCGTCGGGGTCGGCGGTGTCGGGATCAACGGACTCCGATACATTAACAACAACAGGAAACCCTTGCGAGGAGGAAGACTCCACTACTACCAGTTCCGATGCCAATGCCAATGCTAATCCCCGGTTTGTGCTGTGCGTTAGTGCCATCGGAGGAGAGAAAGCAGCTGGCGCCGATCAGCGTGTCAGACGGTCGGGGCTGGCTGGACTAGAGAAAAAGGGGCTGAGGGTTGGCGGGTGGGATGCGAAACAAGTGCGGTTTTTGGAGGAGGTGGGGATATTAGGTGGTGGTGGTGGTGGTGGTGCTGGGGAGGAGGTGGTTACGTTGGTATTGACGCTGGGGGTTTATGTTGCGTGGATGGAGGGGTGGTTGTAATACCATACATCCATACATCATTCCATTCTCTACAGAGGTATTGGTTTAGGGGGTATTTGTTGTTGTTCAGTGCGTCGGAGGTGTTGGTGGGAGTGTCCGTCCGGCTTGGCTGGTCCTTTTTTTATTTTTCTTGGGGTAAAAAAGGAAGGAACACGGGATTTACAGAATTCTCCGCTCCGATGGTTTTCATTACTATCACTTGGAGATTGCATATTTTTTTTTCTTGCATAGCGGGTCTATTATGGATATTTTTGTGATACCTGGAATTTTCATTTTCAATAGATTGTTGAGTTGCGACATTTATTGCAGCTGCTCAACTTATTTTTATCAATTATATCTGCTTCATACCTATTTCCTTTGTCTTCACCCTACTGCCAAGTCTCTCTAACCGTCGTAAGACGTAACGCCAATTTCTAGTGCCTTGATCTGTAGCGCCAGCAACCGCGAGTAATACCGACAGACGGCCAAATTGCCGCCCATGAACCACAGGCCTGGGTGCCCGGTCCGCCGCCACATGCGCATTTCGCCCGTCTCGTCGAATCCCCAGACTTCCTTCACCTTCTCGCCCTCTTTGCCGAACACGAGCTGTGCTTGGGTGGCCATGTTCTGATACCCTGTCGCCAAGATGATCTCGTCCGCCGGTAGCTCCGACCCGTCCGCAAACCGGAGCCCGTGAGGGAGGACCTCGGTAATCTCCTGGCCCTGCTTCACCTTCACCTTGCCGTCAATGATCAATTGGCTGGCCCCGACGTCGATGTAGTAGCCTCCACCACGTTGGAGGTATTTAACGAGCAGACCCGCTCCGTCTGGACCGCGGTCTACCTTGAACCCGGCCCGCGCCAGCCCCTCCAAAGTCGCCCGGTCGTTCTCGTTCTGACGTTTGGTGACCTTGATCTGCTGAGCCTTGAACAGCTCCGCCGGGATACTCCAAAGGTAAAGGTCGGCTTCCTCGGTTCCGGGTCCTGCTTCCTCGTACAAGCCCTTGAGGCCGATTTCCACAATCGACTCCGAGGAAATCACGCAGGTTGAGCTGCGCTGCACCATCGTCACGTCATATCCATTCTCATAATAATCTTGTGCAATGTCGTTGGCGGAATTGCACGCCCCAACCACGACAGCCTTTTTACCCTTCGACTCGGGCTTGGCACCGCGGAACTCGCTGCTATGGCAGATGAGGTCACCCTGGAAGGAATCCATGCCCTTGAAGTCAGGTACATTCTTCTTTCCAGAATGGCCAGTGGCCTGGACGATGTACCGGGGGTTCAGGGTGCGGTTCTCCACCGTCCCATCCTCCTTCCGCCGCTGCAAATCAAGAGTCCACTGTTTTCCGTTGTTGTCCCATGAGGAGCCCTTGATGTCGGTCTTGGTCCATACATTCAGCTCTAATAGCTTAGCATAGCACTCAAACCACTCGGCTATCTTGTCCTTTGGTGTGAAGATCGGCCAATTTGGCGGGAACGGGATGTAGGGAAAGTGGTCAAACCAGACAGGGTCATGCAGGACCAGCTGGTGGTAGCGTTGGCGCCAGTTGTCCCCAATGTTCTCCTCTCGGTCGATGATCAGAACATCGATACCCAGCATCTTAAGGCGGGCCGCAATGATGAGACCGGATTGGCCAGCACCTGGTCGGGTCAGCACATCAGCTAGCAACAAATTGTCAGAAGAGTAGCATACCAACAACCACGACAGTTGGAGACCGGTCCTTAGCTTCGATCTCGGCCGTGCGACGGTCCTTCCAGTTCTTTCGATCCAAGCTTTCGCCATGCTGTGCACCCATGGGTCTCTTGAAGTTCACCGCTTCTGGGTGGTCGACGAAACCCTCCATGGAGGTGAAGAAGGTGAAGATCTTCCACTCGCCATCTTTTTCTGCCAGCCGAACGATACCGTGTCCATGGAGCAGGGGGCTGGTGAGCGTAATATAGAACAGGATGCCTGTAACGTCGCCAAAGGCATCAATAGGGCCGACGTAGGGGCCTCGGAATGCGGTCGAGCGGTCGATCTCGATTTTGCTTGGGAGGCGGCCGGATTTGAGCAAGCCGTGAATGTTCTCTTTGCCTTTCGCGGTGTAAAAGTCCCATGTCAAGCAGAGGTGATCGCGCCAGTAGGCATCTTCCAGAAACAGGTCAGAAAAGGACTGCACATCTCCTTTGCTAAGAGCTGTGTTGATCTTCTCGACTAGCTGCGAAGCGACCTGGTCGGCATTGACATCGGTCGACGAACATGTCTGGGGAAATGTGCCGACAGGAACATTGACCGAGCCAGTTGTCACGTCTTCTGAAGGCATTGTGCCTGTGATGAAGGAATAGTGAGCTGAGAGTAGAGCGGGGTAGTATTTCTCAGGGCGGGTTAGAGAGGGGAGGAGAAGTGGCCGGGTTTAAATCAGCGGGGGTAGTACCAACCCCGCTTCTTCAATGCCACAGCTGAGCACTACTACAGCAGCCATGACAACTCACCGGATTAATGTGGTTAGTCAGATTCGTATCTGCACGCCCATTCTTCAGCTCGTTCCGGTCGGCATAGATAGTTCTCCTGCTAGCTCGGGGTGTGCTGGGGGGTCCGACGGGTCGTGGCGGCGCTAAACTGGCCTGCCGGTTCGGTTGGTTGGATACCCCGCAGTCTGGCGGGTCTGGATTCTGCAGATCTCCATCGCGGACCTCGACGAGTGAGGTGACAGCATACTTTTCAATTATATTGCGGTGAACCGTACCAATTGTGCACGAATTGTGCAGAATAGTAGTGAGTGGTTACATCCTGCTTTGAATCCGGACAGATGTAGAAAGAGGGGAAGATGTCTTGATTGCAACAGAGGGAGGGAACCCAGCCGGGAACGTGACCCCGCAGGGAATCTCCCACCTTCCACTTTCTTCCTGAGGTTCCACAGTCGGTCTCACCTTGCTTCAACAGTGCTACTTACCAGATTCCATCCTTATGGAATTGGCAATGGGTCATTATCTCGCTGGTCGGTATATCCAAATCGATTCTGGATCCGAACCAGACGGGTAGTGCGGGTTCCACGCATCGTCCAGGAACCCGGCTGAACGACTTCGGAGGCTATCTGTCAGATGGCAGGTAAAACACAGTATCTCCTACACTGGCTCGTTCTGTCACTATTCAATTCTGTCATTCAAGCTTCTGCCTCGTGTGACTGCCCGAAGGAACCGACGGATATTATCTCTTCCAATATGAGCCCATCATACCCACCCACCCTTGCATGCGACCCACAGCTGCCTCCATCATGTTTACCAGTGCAGTATCCGTGCAGGCTGCATCGTGAGCCCGGCCGCTATCGGAATTAGGTACGAGTTTACCATTGATCAAAGTTTTGCCTTTCAGCGCCCAGCTCGCGGATAGTAACATGCCATCTCACCATCTACGACCGATAACCGGTCCTCCTATCGACCTAAGTGGACTTTTATCCAGCCTGTTCAGCTAGCCACTGCAGATCATAAGCACTCAAAACACCCATCTACCTCTCTAGGCTACGGAGTAGATCTCCTAGCATCCTCATTGGAGAATCCCCCATCCCTACCGCAAACCCGACCCACGACATCCTAGCCACCTGTACACAGTCACAAAATCGGCATCAACGATCCCAACCCCGCTGACTGGAACATCTGCAGGTCGGGTTATGATAGCCTGCATGGCACGGGACAACCGACCAATCAATAATCCTTCAAAAGACAGGGCGCTTACCATGTACTATCCACGGTGGGGAGCTCTCATCGAGAGGTGCGGGATTATCTATCATCATCGTGGGTTTCAATGCTTCTAGCGTGAACCATTCTACATGGTGGTGGGGCAGGGGCCGATGCCGATCGACCCATCACAACAAATGGTACTCCGTAGATAGAGATATAACTAAGTGGGTTGGGTGGGAGCGGGGATGGAACCAAATATTTCTGGTCGGATAGTGGTGTGCTGGCAGGGGATGAGCTAACAGATGAAATGTCGGCAGCTTTGGATGAAAATTAAAGACGGTGATACTAGTTAGACGATAATGCAGTCGCAAGATTGATCACGGTACTGCGAACGATACAATCGTTACTACTACTTTGGTGTAGACCATTGCAACTCGACCCGAGTACGGATGCGGTTCTATATATATCCACTCCCATACGATTAGAGCCAAGTATTTATTAGTACAACAAAAAGCAAGTAACAACGACATGAATGGCAAATAAACCCAACCACAAAATATAGAACCTATACTGTAATCGCAGGTACAAGATAATGAGATCCAATAGATCCAAGATTCGGTTTTCCGACCACGTAGTCTACTAGTAGGTAATGATCATAAATGGACATGCCGGACATAACTAGTCGAAAGTTTGTTTTGCGTGATGATTGGGGAAGGCTATAATACTAATATGGGTTGATCTGACATCAACAAGCATCATTGGTCTAGTGGTAGAATTCATCGTTGCCATCGATGAGGCCCGTGTTCGATTCACGGATGATGCATTATTTTTTCCTGTAGATTTTTTTTATCTTTCTACTAACCCTTGTACTCCCACCTCTCCAATTTTTTCTTTTCCTTTACCTTTTAATAAGTTTGTTTTCGAATATTTACTCAATAATCTGTTATTTAACATCATGTACATTGATATATTTGATGTCTGGTCTGCATGTCCTATAGTGTCACCCTCAAAGCTGCACCGTTATCATCAACATACCGTATTCGTATCTTCTGATTATTCTCTTGTATGTACAGCATTTATGCGGGAAACTAAGCAATCGGGGAATCACAGTCTATCAACCCGACCACTGGCAAATATATACAGCGAAATTAAAGTATGTACCCGTGGTTATATACCCAGGATAAACAAACCGCCATCGTGATGGAGTTGTCACATCATGTAACAACATCCCTCCTTCTCCGTCTCCCCTGGTTCGCATATCGGCTGTCCAAGCCGAGTCGACCAAGCGCCAGAGTCTCCAGCGTCTCCGTCTTGCCACCCCACAATTTACCTCTTCCAGATCCATCTGGCTTTCTCTGGATCGGAGGTATCCAGCATGTCACTATCGCCCCAAAGAGCATGCATACAGCGAAGACAATCATAACGTAGCCGTGACGCTTTACCGGCTCCTCTCCGAAACCGCCGCCGAAGTTGTAGTAGGCTGAAAAGACCTGCACCACTATAGAACCGATCTTACCAGCGCCGGCGCTGAGTCCGTGACAGGTGGCACGGTAACGGGTGGGGAAGATTTCAGCGGGGATGATGTATGTTGTAGCATTGGGTCCTATAGAAATGATGGTTAGAGTCATCTACATCGACTCCACGGTGGAAAGGTTACGTACCAAAGTTGAAGAGTGCTTGGCCGATGACGTACAAAACAACGGCCACAGGACCCTCTTTTTGTACGGTAATAAGCATGCAACCTAGGGCGACGAAGAGTGCGGATAGTGCGAGGAACGAGTACTTCTGTAGAGCGACTCTGTCCAGTTTGTGGATCACCAAGATGAGAAGAAGTCCGCCGACAAAGCTACCCACATTCAAGATCACCAGCGCGTGGGTGCAGCTTGCAAAGAACATGTCATAGACGCTTGCACCAGGACTGTCGTTCGTCTCCCAGTAAGGTGCTGGTGCGCTCAAATGAAGAGACCCCCAAGTTTTAGCCAAGAACTGCGGGCTCGAGAGACTGATGCCGTAGAAGCCAAAGTCTAAGAAGAACCAGGACACGGCCGTCGCAGCTAGAGTCCGCCAATTGCCTTCCACCCAGAAGTATTGTACGATGTCCTTCCATGTTAAGCGCCAGTGAGAGTTCAGAGTCGCTGGTTGAAGGATCCCGGTCTGGGATGTGGAGGATCGGTCCTCGGCCGTGATGGTAGTTAGGGAATATGCCTGCCCAGGGAAATTGTGCCAGCTTTCAGTTTCGAGAGTCGGGGAGGAGGTAACGGCATTTGGGTCAGTAAATAGTGTGGTTGCATCGAACTCGACCTTCACTGGATCATCGTCAATCTCCATGAGGAAGCGTGGTGACTCTGGAACGAAGAACCGGAAGCAAGTTGCTATTGCTGCCGGTATCACACCGATACCAATGACGTAACGCCACATTCTATCGACAGACATGGTCAAATCATTGGTATCTGAACGGCTGGTGGCGATGACAATCAGCGACACGAGGTTTGCCCAGATCTGCCCCAAAGGTTGCATGAAGAAAACCGAAGCCATCATCCTTGCTCTGTGTTTAGTGGGGGCAAACTCGCTCGTGATCACCGAGCTCAAAGGATAGTCGGCTCCGACACCAATTCCCACAACTATACGCCACCAGATGAGCCATGCGTAGATGCTCATTGAATCGTTTTCTCCGCGGGAGGCCATCACAACGCCCAATGTGGACGTGATCATGAGAATTAACTCCAATCCATACATCTTCTTGCGTCCATTCCGGTCAGCTAGGTATCCAAACAAGACCTGTCCCAGTAGTGTCCCTCCCAATGTAGCAATGTTGAATAGAGTGATCTTGATCGAAGAGACCTCCTTCTTCCAGTAGACGTAGGAGATCATCGGAAGCGCCATGTTGCTTGCAAACAGTGTGTATCCATCAAGAAAGAAGCCAACACCGGCAACGAAGACGATCAAGTATTGAAATCCCTGGCGATCGATTGTGTCATACACCTGCCGAGCGCGAACATCTCGATCCTATGGCACCAGCATAGTATTAGCTAGCAGACCCAGGATGTGAGGCATCTAAGAAGCTTCTACCTGCTCATGCTCAAAATCCTGAGCTCGGTCGGTCTTATACCAACGCGTGCGGAACTTGCCCATGGTTGTATGTTCGTGTTGGCGTTTGGATCAGATGGATTCTAGAAATCAGATTGTACACGGATGACATCATGAAGGGCCATCGACCTGCAAGTACAGTGAGAAGAATAGATCCTGCGGCCCCCAGATCTGAGGATGAAGGTCTAAGAAAAAGGATGGCGCAACGTTGAAAGATAGGGGAGGATGAGTCTGAGAGGGGTACTCGAGGCCCACCATGAGGCCAGAGGCACAATATACTTCTCCCGGGAAGGTTTGAACTAAGCAGGGACACAACAAAGTGATTGGCGGGAGCTGTGACAGTGCGTGCAGTAGCGGCCGGAGTGGACCTCAATGCCTGGGGCACCCGCCCAATTCCTCGCTCCACGTGCGGCACGTGCGGGCAGGATGGGGACTCATTGGGGCCCACTTGTCCACTTGGCTGCCTCTGTCAGATGAACGAAAGACGCCAGTAGTAGCATGATCCCGGAGTTCTTTCGGTCCCTGGCCAGGCTCCCGAGCTGCCTTCCACTGGATACGAGGCAAATTTGCCATTTGTGACATTTGAGTTCGCCGAGCGATGAAACCTGGCTATAGCTGAAAGCCGTCCTACTGGCTCGACCAACCACGTGCCCCTTGTGCCTCGTAAGGTCCCAATCTTGTCTGAAGTTTCACAATAAAGTTATGGTATTGTAAATGAAACTGACGCGTGGCCGCACAGGAGCAAGCAAGAAAAAAGGAAAAAATTATGCATTGTACCTGAGAACCCAACGCCCTCTGAACTCCTTGCTGCAGACTCGTAAACCACTGATTCCATGTTGGGTAATTAGTAGATGCTATGCCTATTTTCCGAACCGTGTTTCCGTGGGTATCGTATTCAATGTTTAATGGAGTGTGTTGTATTATTATGTGGTGCTTTCCGTTAGAAATTGGCAAAATGCTTTCCGGTCTAGTGGAGCACGTTAGCAATCCCGCTGGGGATGTTCGAAGAGAAACTTACCCAAATCATCAAGAAACTGTATAGATAATGTCCTCATCTGGGAGAGAATATCAAAGTTGGGCTGCAACTGGAGAACTACCGGCTTTCCTGCCTTCTTGCCCGGATTGAAGCTGTCGATGCAGTTGATCGGTATGGACACATAACGTTTCAACTCCTTCCGTTGTGAGTTGGCAAAGAAGAGCATGACTTGTTTGCCATTGTGATTCCGTAGAATGCGTAGGTTCTGGCTGATGCACTCTTCCCCTCGGCCCTTGGACTTCGCCTCGGCGATGCCTGCTATGAAGACCAGTTTTGAACCCAGGACTAATTCTTGGAACTGCACACAATCTGCAAATGGGAATCAGCAAAAGATTCAACCACTTTTAGAGCATTATGCGACGCACCATGCCAGTCATCAAACGTATAAGAAATCTGGGTGAGGAACACGTTGTGGGCCGATTGAACGGTTTGCTCGTCCATGAAGGAAACGCGCAGCGACGACTCGTTCGGGAGCTTTGGATGTTCAAGATGGGGAACTGGAAGCTTGGTATCATTGACTACAGATGAATCACGACGGGTTAGCATGGTCATCCGCAGGCCTCTTTCAAACACTTACAAGTATGTATCAAAGGAGTCTGCTGACCCGGACCTCCGCCCAACTCAAGACTCTTCAAACTTCCCGTGGCATCCTTGCGTATGTCGATGCAGGTGAAGCGTAGCTTGAAGAGTTTACTACTCCGGACGAAGGAGCTGTAATGGCTCCATCAGCGGTTGTCGTCTGCACGGGATATTGGGCAATACGCACATGGTCACAGAATGGTTCAGCGGTAAGCGGCAGGTGTCTTCGTATAAGGAGAAGCATGAAGCCTGCCTCGACCGGGATCCAATTGAAGAAGCCGTACGACTCAGCGGAGGCGGGAAAATAGGCGATGTGGCATAGCTGGGTCCGGAAGAGCTCGTGGAGGAAGAGACTATGCTTTCTGGTCGAGATACGGACAGCGGAAGAGGCCAGTCCTCGGCTTCCAAATGGGCGCCCGGCTGGCTCATTGCAGATGCAAGGGACTTTAAGTAGCAACGGCCCGGTCCTTCAAACGTGCACACTGCAATGTGGCGGGTGACTGATGGGCGACGATCGTGCGGATCCACAGGAGCTGATCAACGTGTACTAGGGTTGAGGGCACTTGCATCATTCCCAATGTCGACGAGGAGAGTTCCCACAGCACAAGCCGATCCGAAGCAGTGCAAAACGGCTGGTCTTCGCTGATTGAGGGCGAGGTTATAAGGCAAGTGCTTAGTTAGGCAAGTGATAAGGGAACGCTGATGCGGGTGCCATAGGGACCTTATGCCCAGGCCCAGGGCGGGGGAACCACGGACAACGTGCTCAAAAGGCGCCCTGTGATTTGAGACTCCAGCGCGGATGAGTGGAGACCCATCCCTGCGGCCGGTACACCTCGTGGTGATATGGATGGTCCGTGATGCGCTTTCCTAGTCGCTGTCAGTGCTTGGAGAGGATGGATTGAAATGCTTTCACGATATCAACCCACCTATTATACGATGCTGCTTGAGGAACTCGTGGATAGGTACCCGCTCATCCTGGAGTTAGTGCCTCTGTGCGGGTACACAGACTAGAGTGTCGGTGGGTACCTCGAGTCATGGCGAGCGAGCCAGAAGCATAGATTGCGATCCTTCCAGTCTAATATTTGACTCGGAATTGCATACTCGGGTCGGCAGCAGGATGCAGGGAAGCTTAGGAATGCTGGCCAAAAGCCTATGGCGTGCATGAGGGCAGAGGCATGTTGTCGTATTGCATCTCCGACAACCCGTGGTCATGTGACGTGAGTCGGCATACCTTACGTAAAAATCACAAGGCGGCTTGCCAGACTAGCACGATGAGAGCACGGCCGATTATCGGTGATACTCGGTCCGTTGGCATACGTGGGTTCACAGTCTCCCATTGACAGTCATCGCAGAAAAAAGTGGTATTAGTCTATGTACTTCTATACGGACAGCCCTATCTACATGGGGTATCCTGAGATCAAAATGAAACGAAACCATATGCGAGACACCAAAAACACCGGCTAGGCTTCGCAGAGCTGAACAGAAATATAACGCAGGATGGATGCAACCCAACTGACCAGAAAGAATGCAAGCGAGCGAGCGTTGGTAACAAAGAACTGTCGGGGCGCTCTGCCATGGGGTCGTGAAATGGGTATGATCCGCAAAGCCGCCAGAGATTATAGGGTATATAGATGCGAACCGGAAAGAACAAATATCTTCAAAACCATGTCAGAGAAAGCCGATCGTAAAATCGTACTATGGATGAACGCTTTGTGCAGCGAATCCAGCGTGCGATGTTGGGACTTAAACAGGCACTCACTTTATGGACAGAAACACGCCGTGGCCACAGGACCAGGAAAGATGCGGCGATCAACTCGACGCGACTGACTCATATGTGCCAAAGTTGAGTGACATGCTCATGTCATCAGCATATCGCGAAGAGAGACGTGTTAGACGTGTGAAATATCCAGTCGCGGAATACTGCATGTGTGGAAGCGTCCCATCCAGCTATCATCGTCGGGGTCTCATGGAAACCCCAGCCCACAAACAATAGTCTGCTTCCTGGATGCAAGGGCGGTGACCCTTTTCCGCGTGGATGAATCCTCGATGTGCAGCAAATGACCGATTCCCTTTACCCAGTCCTGTTCTTAGTGTGTGTAGTTTATTGAAGAGGCTTCTGGGCGATGATGCGATAACTGGTTGTCACGAGTCGCATAGTATCCATCTTGATGAAAGCCTCGCCGTCGAGACACAAGCGGTTGATCAGGGTCTTGAAGTGGCGGGGCAACACGTGGGTCTTGACCAGTCCCAAAATGACCTGGCGCATGGAGCGGAAGTAGAAGTCAACCTTGTCAATGAGGGGCGCCTGCAGACCTCCAACACTGGCATTGTCAGAGCGGACGACAGAAAAGCCGGCATCGGTAAGGGCCTTCTCGAGACTTTCGGGGGTGGGAGTGCCAACAGCACCGATCAAAGGCTTTACGCGACGCATGAGTTCGGTATGCTCGGGGTTGCTCGGATCGTAGTCGGGCAGGCTAACCCAATCGAGGAGGGAGATCTTGGCGCCGGGCTTGACGACCCGGTAAATTTCGCGGAAGAGGGAGGGAAGGTCTTTGCACAGACTGAGGGCTTGGATCTGGTAGAAAGCGTCGAAGCTAGCATCCTCAAAGGGCAGGGGAAGATTGTTGAAGTCCTGGACGACGAATGAATTGTTGGCGAAGCCGAGCTTCTCATTGTAAGTCTTAGCCTGGCCGATCTGATTAGGATCGATGTTGAGTCCCGTGACCTTCGCGCCGGAGTATTGCGTCATGTGCGCGGCCACTCTTCCGCGACCGCAACCCAGGTCCAACACGTGATCGCCGGCGCTAAGGCCGATATCCTGCGCAATCGATTCCTCGTACAACAACTGGTTCTCCAGCACGGTCGCCTTCTTGCTCATAAATGGGGGGATGTACATCTTCTCCACGTCGCCCAGCGCGCACAGGTGGTTGAGCACTCCATAGTACGCCTTGAGGCAGTCGCCAACCTTTGCCTGATAGTCCGGACCTAGCGTCTCAATCATCGCTTTCTCGTCAGACCAGTCGAGATTGTAGATGACGTAGGATGCCATGAAGTCATCGACCTGCTTGGGGGTGAGGTTGTTCAGATACCGGAAGGCCTTCCAAAAGGTCTTCCATCGCTTGGGCGACGCCGAATTGTGCAGATCAGGGCGAGTTTGGGGAAGCTCCTTGTTGGCGAGCTTCTGCTTCTCAATAGCGTCCAGGGAGCTGCTCTCGGAGCTCCGGCCGGACTGGCGCGACGCCAAGACGGTTGTTTGGGTATCCATTTCTTCACGCTATAAGATTAAGAGCTTGATCGCGGCGTTGACAGCAACAAAAAAACAACGGCAATAGCAACAGCTGGAAGCAACGACAGCAGTGCGAAATTAGGAGTGAGGGAAGTGTTTAGGGGGAGGGTTGATTGGTGACAGGGCAGTGGGTGAGAGACTAGAGACGGCGGTTATTTTCGTTGTCCAGAAAGTGCCATGCCAGAGTCGCAATGCGATTTCTCTCTCTTTTTTTTCCTCGATAGGATGGAAAGGCGGGGCTAGGCTTTAATTTATAAGCACTGCAACGGAGGGAATTTTTTTTTTTCTGACTCCTCTTTCCTGTAACAGTGAGGTGCCTCTGCAACGGCGCTGGGCGGCGCCATCGGGGGGGATCTTAATAATATTGATTGATTTGCCGTATGACCTGCCATGGGAAGTTAGCGATGGCCACTGTGGATTAGCCATTGTCACCGGATCTGGCAAGCATCGGAAGAGTCGGAAGTGGCAGGTCCAGAGCAGCACGGGAAGGGACGGCAGCGACGAACCGGAGGATGGAGAATGGAGGAGAGTCATGGGCGATGCGCGTTGGCTCTGGCTCCGTTGTTTGGGATTTGCCTTTGGAGAATAACGGCTACCACTACTTGGACTACGGCGGCAGGGTCATCTCCTCACAGGAATCAGCCCCCCTGTTAGTTTGGCGGTAAACTATTTGCTGGGAGAGGGGGGTAAGAGCTGTTGCTACTACGCACGTTAACTCTTAGTATTCGACTAGATTATCGGCCCTGGAATGAGTCAAGGGTCTGCCGGCCACATCACGGACCTCTTTTCCCCTCTGATCACCAGTGCTACTGTGATGCCACTGGGATGTATCTACTGTACTTCGGATAATTTGTGCACCATTGATTGACTTCAAGCGAGCCTGACAGTTAACTACTACTCTTTTGACTCCCGGAGTTTTACCAGCAGAGCCGTTGTCTAACAGCTTGACTGGTAACAGTGGTCGTCTCCATGGAGTGATGCGATGGTTCAGGGAGCTGCTAGTGTTGGAGCTAGTAGAGAATTAGTGTGTAGAGGAGCTGGGTAGCCCACTTCCCAGGGTACTTACTGTGTACCACTACCACAGTACATGATTTCTTAGCACCCACCACTACCATTGACTAGTGCCGTGATCCGTCCAGGGTGTTTTGCTGACGGTGTCCACCAAGGCTATTAGCTCTCTAGTCTATACACCGAGCCCGAGCCGTTCGTTTATTAGTTCCTGGCGCGCCAAGCTGTCTCCATCGCGTAGTGGAATGCAAAGGCCCATCCACGGATGAGCTGATCAATGGGCACCCGCCGTGCAAAATGAGCACGGCCTTGGCAATCAATGCTTACTTCTCCTCACAAGCAACGCTCCCGAAGCCGGACCACTTCGAATTATGATCTCGAAGGCCTTCATACCCAAGTTTTTATGAGCCAGGCTAGAATTCGCTGCTTGGTTTGCCAGTTCCGCCTACTTCTGCCCTATAGGGATGTTGCCATGGCTTGGCTTTAAACGAAGGGGCGATTGTTTGAAGTGAGGAGCTATTGACGATCCATTTGTCGGTTCCCTACCTACGGAGGACAATGGTAGGTATTACCCAAGAGTTTCTCGATTATCCCTCATGTTCAGGCCCTATGGTTCCCGAGTGGTCTGGCAAAATTTTACTTAACGATCGCATCTTTTTTTTTTTTTTCTCGAACCAGACGGCTTCTGACTGGATCAGGCAATTCACCGCGCCTCGGACTTCCCACCCGAGCATCCGCCCCACCCGCGCCTCGCTCTTCTGGCCGTATTTCCGTCAAACTCTTCATCTCGCTCGTCCGCTGGTCTTCCGTATCCGTATCTCCTGGCTCCGACTCATCTCCGTCTCTCTGGCCTCCTGTGTCAGACATTGTCTTGGTGAGAAGCGTTCCATTCTTTCTATGCTTCTAGCGATTTCTAGGGTCCCTCGGATCGGGGTTTGCGGCACATAGAAGGCAAATTCCCGTTGGTGTGGGATTTTGAACCCTTTTTCACCGATCGCCTTCGTCGTCATCAGCTCGTGGAGACATACTCGAAGTCACTGCGCGATGATCACGAGGTCATCCACCGTTTAATGCGGAGGGGAAGGGAGATTGGCATGTTCTCAATTCTCACTGCCAGCCAACCGTCCGGGGATGCTGGAGACAAGAGATCTCGTCGTATTTACCTCATGTAGCATGGATTGACGGTCGCATATACTGAGTCGTGGGATGCAAGTCCATCCTGCGGAGTCGGCTAGATTGATGGCTTGATTACTCTTACGCGTGTAGGCCAATCTGGAAATGACGTGGCTGGCCTGGCCTGGCCATTATCACACCCGTTATCCTTGCTCGTGCAGGTGCAGCCCAGTGGTCCGACCTTTTCTTTGTCCCTCGTGTGTCATGCCGTCATGGATCGTCGCACGCTTTGATACCACGGTCTACGTGGGACAACAGGAAGAGGCGGATTCTTCCGTCTTATGTGGTATTCGCAATGAACATCATGCGCTTTTTTTTTATTGTTAGTACCTTTTTCTCCCTCGCGCTATATTGACAGTACCCACTTCGCTCCACTCTGGCTCCGACTCTATCCTCAGCGCGGCAGTCACACCAACAGCAATCCTTGAGAGAGAAAGAAAGAAACCCAGAGAATGCATGCTTTCGCTTAGTGTCGCTCGTTCTCTCGTAAGCCCGAAGATAGACAAATGATCGCGATAATCATACCCAATTTAAACAAAATTAAATAATATCACCAAAGAATAAATAAATAAAAATAAAAACCCTACACTCACAAAAACCACACCAGCACGTGACCACACTGAGCCGGCAACAATTTCCGCGTTCCTCCGTACCCTTCATGACCATAGAAAACATCACCACCACGACAAAGAAACCATCAAACCCAGGTGTATAGCATCAAAAGACGTCCAAATAAGCTTATATTTAAAGCCCAGCCCTCCCCGAACGCCTACAGCAAGCCATCCTCCAAACGGAGCGCACAGCGAGCAGGTTCCAGGCCCACTCTCGCCATTAGGCAGCCAGATATTTCCCCTTCTACTATCCTAACTACTGGGTACATCACAACGGAAAGGTTGAGGGGGGAGCGCCAAGATAATTCTCGAACCTCAGATCAGCTGTTCGTCCGAGCTGCCGGGTGGCGACTGCTTCAGGGATGGACATTCCCATCTATTATTCGTTCGGTGGGTTGTGGACGGGAGGGTCGGTGGTGGTGGTGGGATTGCCCTCGTGGGTACCGGTGTAGTACTTTCTCTTATGGGATGATCTCGGTGTGCTGAGATGTACCTCCCTGTAGAAGGGCAGGTGTGGTAGTAGTATCCTTTGCTGGGTTCGGTGGGCAGGTAGGTAGGGTCTACTCCGATGGGCTGGGTCCAACTGTCTAAACTGACTCCGAGTCACCTTTGTTTAATTCCGATGGTTGATCCTATTCGTGCGTGTCTTGATCCTCTCTGCTGGTGATTAGTTAAGAGGGTTCTTCTTTTATTCTTTGTCTTATCTAAGCTCTTGCTGCTTTGTCGGGTACTAAGATCTAGATGCACGATCTTGTCGGGATGTCCGGCCACTCCGGAGAGGGATTTTGTGGGTTTTTAAGCTTCCTGAATAAGGGGAGAATATCCAATAGTAGACTAGGATGCTATTCTTAATGCTTGGGTGGGAGTGCTAGACCCAGTGATGTGCTTTTCTTCCCTGTACTGATGCCCTAGGAACATGTCGGATGTACCGGCAACGATAGCGGAGATTGATGGATGACAGCTAACCTGACATAGAAATGCAGATCATCCCGAAAATCCCGTTAGTAGGGGTCCTAGAGCTTGAAGTTTTAGTCATAGTAAGTTGCTTTTAGCTGTGGGTTTGTACCAATAGAACGGCAGTTGGGTCTTCCAGCTGTAAGTAGTAAGTAGCTCCCGCGGCAACATGAAACATGACTCGCGAAAATCAATGTACAAGATGAGTACAAAGAGATCAGGTGACCATGGCTTTTGCCTCTTGTGGTGTCTGCAGATGTTGCATGCCTCCACTTTGTCTTGAGGTTTTACTGGTCGTCTTACATGTGCATCTCTTTGTTTCTTTCTGCAGAAATTATCGAGTACCTTTATGCATTCGCTTACAAGTGCGTGGTAGAAGCCTATATTTCTTGCTCATGTAAAAAATAAATCATTTAAGTGCTTGGATTAGTTGTATCTTGCTGGCAAACTGTTTGTTCGATGCCACTAGTGGAGCATATATTGCAGTCGCCAGAATCAGCTGACAAATCGTCAAGATGCTCGCACACAGTCTATCTAAAAAGCCTTGCAGCTCAACATTTGTAACTCACATTCACTAATTTTTAATCTCATCTTTTCATTAGACTTACACTGCCTCATTCCATAACAGTAGTGGAAGTAGAAGGCGATGTTACGGCTTCTTCACTAATTATTTTGGGTCGTGAAAATAGGCTCCTACCAAATACGATGATACATCAATAATCAATTTTTCTTTATGTATCCAAGTCCAACATACTTTTTCAGCAACCCTGAGAGCCTGGTCAACTTATTTGTGAATGGTAGCTGATGATGGTGATGGTGACATCTTTGTTTGGAGGTTCTGATCTGTCGGAGATACCCAGGGATCTTACCTACGCAGGATCGGGAGTATCCCACAAAAACAACAGATAGCCTAGTACGCATCTGCGCCTATAAAAAGACCCCTCTTTATGACATTGAATTAGCAAGAAGAATCTTATTTTAATCAGTTTATTCAAATCTTGTATTCATCTCTATATGGTTCTCAACCTTACTATGGATTCACGCAAGAAGCTATAGCAAACCTTTGTGAAAACGAGTCACTTCTGTCATGCACCGGAGCAATTATGCTTTTATGCGGATGCCTGGAACTGGTAATGCAGTGTATATCAGTGCTAGATGGGAGTACAGCTGTGAATAGCACGACAGCCTTCCTTCTACATGCCTGTGGAATGGCTAAACATATAAAGCTCAGTATCAATCTGTGAGAAGGGCCCTTCCAGCTAAGCAACCATGACCTCCGGCGGCATGACCACTGGCTCTCATTCTACGATTCGCCCTTGGCACAACCTATATACTCAAATTTACCTATAGCACAGTATATTATTACGCTCATTGAGGGAATTCACACATACAAACTGTTTACCCTAAGCCCCGAAACAAGCCACCGTGGTGAAGGTGCACACGAATAATCTTTGATAGAGAAAGAACACGAGAGCACCTTCCTTCTCTTGCGCCAATCTGAGCTACACCCTTCATCACATTTCTGAGACCATCCTAATACTCTACTCATCACCGTTTCATTTACCTA